GCTCCTAACTCCTGTTCTGTCATCCATTTACACAAGTTCCTTAGGTAGGTTATACCTGATTTTCTCAGTCCATCATGCCTTCAATATTTTCTGTGTCCGATTTTATAAGCCATCTTTCCGCCTATTTGTCCATAGCTAGGATCTTAACAGGTGCTACGAAGCCGGGTCGGGGTAGACCTGAGAAAAAAGCTATTACGATGTCGTTCCACACTCTTGAAAACCTCCAATCTCCTGGTCAGAGGCCTTACTGCCGGATGTAGTTCATCGTCATACACAGAACTTCGGTATATCACAAATGACGTTTATTTCTTTTATCATTTCTGTTATTTTGTTAAAGCCGAAATAATCTAAAGCTGCAAGTATCTCTCTTACAATTCTATCCTGTTCTGTTGCTTTGTTCTTGTTCAAATTAGCCACTGCTGGTTTCGCTTTAACATTTCTGGCCATTGTTTTTTTTTTTGTTTTGTTTTGTTTTTTTATTGCAGTTTTTCCTCTTTGGCCCTGGAAGTGTTTTCCGATGGATATTTTCATTCGTTTTTACCAGCATTCATACCTTTACGCATATTTCTATTTCCGCACAGTTTTCTTTTAGCCATTCCTCTTTTTCCAATTTCAATATTCTGTGCCATTCCTTGGTATTGTTTGCTGTCACTTTTCTATCACTTTCTAAAACGTCAATTAATATATCTCTTTTTGAATTTCCATTCTAATTTAATTTACTGCATCTGCTTTTAACGCTGACAGTGTACTTGTCTTTGCAAGAGTCTGTCGAATTGAAATTTCAGTGCTGCTATGGCTAACTTTAATTTCCGTATATTTATTGTGAGATTGCTTATCATTGGAAGGCGGTCGCTCGCGCAGTCAGCAGTTGGATATATTTTACAATGCAAAAATGCATTCCTGGATCACTTATTCACCTTTGGGGCGTCGAACTAGTTTTCATTTCCTCTGGAATTTCGTTTGAAAGCACTGTTCAGACGTTGTTTGATAGGCAAAGTTTCGTCGTGGCTGTGTTGGTTAAGGCACGTCGGATCTAACGATGGGTTCCCGACACAGTTTCGAATCCTGCCGGAAAGCGGATATATTTTTAATAAATTATACGAATAATCAGTCCTGTAGAAAAGTAAATAAATGTACTGTTTAATAAATAAACGGAGTGTCTATTCAACTGTAAGTATCCACTAAATATAAACTTTAAAACGATAAGAAAAAACTGTCGGATGAATAAATATGTAAATATTTTCAAATTTTTAAATAATTATAATAGAGGAATAGTAAATTGTTGTAAGAATCAGGGCGCAAATTTACTGTAGATGTCCTTGCAAGAAAGGCACTAAGGTCATCTATTTGCATCCTCGCTCTTATAACATTTCATCATTCCTGGCCGATCTTCTATTGTCACAGTGTGGGATACCTTTTTTCTTTCTATTTTTTCTTTTTTTTAAGCGTTTCACCCCAAGCAAGACGGGAAGCCACTAGCACGCAGGGGGTTACAGAGAGTTGGAGCTAGAGCAAATAGGAGTGATAGAGGAAAGGATGAAGAGAAAGATAGAGGATAGATCAGGGCATCTGGAGACGTCGATTGACATTACATTTGAATAATTGGAGATTATAGCTATCAGGGAAACAAGAAATGGGGAGGGAGTTCCACAGGTGAGAGGTGCAAGACATGAAGCTACTGGAGTAGAAGAGACGGCTACATTTAACAGTTTCGACAGAGAAAGGGTGACAGCGAGATGCCAGCCTAGTAGAACGATTAAATTCATGAAGTCTGGGAACCAGCGAAAGCAGCTCCTCGGAGCAATTACCATGAAAGTATTTGTGAAAAAGACAGAGGGAGGCGACGGCAAGTCTGTGAGAGAGCCGCTGCAGACGAGATGCCAGATGAGGGCCAATTACATTGTACATCCGTGTCTGGATCTTATCAAGAACCCCGAGGCAAACAGAAGGGGCTCCAGAACATATATGGCAGCAATACTCCATGCAGGGGCGAATGGTTGATTTGTAAATTTGAAGGATCGACTCCGGAGAGAAAAATTTCCTGGCGCGGCACAGGGAGCCAACTTTCCTTGCGGTGGACGAAGCAATTTACTCAATGTATTTGTTCCATCTCAGGTCAGTAGTCAATATGAGACCGAGTAGTCGCAAAGAGGTGCTCTCGAGTACTTACAAAAGCAATGAACAGAAAAAGTAAGACTCTAAATGAATTCGGCTATACACACACACACACACACACACACACACACACACACACACACACATATATATATATATATATATATATATGAAAAGCCTAAAATTCCCAGAACCCCTTTGTCGTGTGCATGCGTAGGCCTACCAACGTAAGAAAAATTTAGTCCGATGAAGTTCTGAAGGATGAAAGGCGTCACCAGTAGACTTTTCACATTTTGGCATACAATTTCTCAAACACTGTTCTTGATATATAAAAAATATATCATCGCGCACACACACACGCGCGCGCACGCACGCACGCACGCACACACACACACACACACACACACACACACACCCACCCTTATATATATATGTACTCGGGTCTGTCCTTTCTTCTTGGAAAAAATTAATGCGTTTTAAGCAGCGTATTGTTTTAAAAGTATCGGCAGATTTTCTTTGAAATTGAATCCGAAAGTCATGTCAAAAGCGAGTAACGACAACTCTTTATCAGTCACGTGTGATGTCGTTTACTTTTCAATATTTTTGAGAAAAGCCTTTTCAGAATATCAATTGTCAGACTAATGGCGATTGCGACTGAAGTGAAACTCAGAGAAACTGTAATGTGTCGGTGTATCTAGACAGCTTACTAGTTGTTATACATACATACATACATACATACATACATACATAAATACAAACATACATACACACATATATATATATATATATATATATATATATATATATATACAATCTGACAGTTCTTTCCTATGTTATCAATACACACACACACACACACACACACACACACACATATATATATATATATATATATATATATATATATATATGTGTGTGTGTGTGTGTGTGTGTGTTGATCTCTCAGTTTACCCTTTCTTCTTGGAAAAACTTAAATACCATTGAGAAGTTCTTTTTTTCTCTCAAAATAACGTTGCCGCTTGTTGTTTTTTAACTTCTTGAAAGCAGCCCCACCCTTCCTCGTGTCTCCTTTTGAAGTGTTGCAAGAATTTCAAAGGCTTCCAATGTTCCACCAGGAGAAACGAAGGATTGGATTACAAGGGAGAATTTTACGAGGAAGTCTCCAAGAAAGAAAAAAAAATGCAGGGTAAAAGTCATTCTTTGTGCATTACAGTCTCTCGTATTTTTCTTCCTTTTTTTCTTCTTTTTTTCTTTCATTTTTTTTCCTTCTTTTTTCTATGTTTCTTTTCGTTTTGTCTCATGCTATTTCTTTTTCTGTTTTTTTTTTCAATCTCAAATTTGTCGGCCGTTTTCAGGCTACGTCAATTTCTTTTTTTAATTTTTTTTTTACTTTTCTATTCCTCTTTCGATTTTGCCTTCTTTCTTTTTGTTTTTCTTTTCTTCTTTCTTTTTCTTTACTTCTTTCTTTTTGTTTCTCGTACTCCTTTCTTTTTCTTTTTATTTTACTTCTTTCTTTTTCTTTTTGTGTCCTTCTTTCTTTTTCTCTACTTCTTTCTTTTTGTTTCTTTCCTTCTTTCTTTTTGTTTTTCTTTTTTTCTTTCTTTTTGTTTCTTCTTTCAAATGTTCTTTCTTTTCTTCATTTCGATTTTTCTTTCTTTTGTTTTCTTCCTTTCTTTGATTCCTTATTTCTTTGTCAGTACTTTTAGCTTGTTCGTTTGTTTAATTCTTTCTTTCTTTCTTTCTTTCTTTCTTTCTTTCTTTCTTTTTCTCCTTTTGTTTTATTCCTTTTTTTTTTTCTTTATTTTTTTTAGTACTTTTTCCTTTTGTTCGTTTGTTTAATTCTTTCTTTCTTTCTTTCTTTCTTTCTTTCTTTCTTTTCTCCTTTTACCTTTTATTCGCTTCTTTTTCTCTTCTACTTTTTCCGAACTTCTTCCTCTTTCTTTGATGTCTTTCCTTTGCCTTCCGTTTTCCGTTTCTTTCTTCTGGTTTCCTACGATTTTTTTTTCTTTCATTCTTTGTCCTTCTCTTTTTTCTTTTTTTTCTTGCTTTTTTCGTTTCTTTCTTTTTTGGACATTCCATTTATATTGCTTTCTTCTAATTTTTTCTTTCTTTCTTTCTTTCTTTCTTTCTTTTGATTCTGCACAATCTATCTATCTATCTTTATCATTATCATTATTTCTTTCTTTTATTCAAAATTATTACTTTTGTTATTTTTTTTAACTCTAAAAAAGGCTTTGATCAGTGTATCAAATGTAAGGGCCTCAGTCAGACACTAGATATTTTTTTAGCTGTTAGAGAAGCTGTTTTGAGTATAGATACTATGATATATCTCATCTTGAGTAAGCAGTTTCCAAGCCTCCAAATGGACAATATGATGAACTAGAAAATAACCAAGTTTCATAGATTGTGCAAGCCTATTTGAAAATGTACGACACAAAGTTATATTTGAACTGCCAGGAAAGCTCTATATAATTGTGAAAGATGTCATTTTTTTCTGCGTACGGATACAAAATGAAAGAAACTAAGTTACCAAAAATATGAAGGTGCGTAAGACAATGATGGGTGGTCTCAGTGGATTTCTTCACTTTTTAGAAGGTACAACCTATTTCAAATATAAACCATGCAGATGACCATATGTTGATGGGAGACACAAAAAAAGTGTGTTTGTAGCTCGAAACATTTTTCGTTTTTCCCATCAAAATTATGTTCGCTACAAAGAACATAATGGTATTTATATCAACTAACTTCTTCTTTATATGCTTTAGTCCTATAGGATGGAGGCGGTCATGGCCTTCCACAATTTCCTGTCCTTTATTGTTCTTAGTAAATTTTGTCTTTTTGATATTTGGTTTGGTTTATTTTTGTTTTACAGCATATCAACCTCAATGGTTTATTTAATTCCGACAAGATTTTTATTGCTGGTAATATTTTTATCCATCTATCTATCTATCTATCTATCTATCTATCTATCTATCTATCTATCTCAGTATATATTCGTTTGGTTTGTTTTGGTTTGCAGCATATCAACCTCAATGGGTTATTTAATGTCGACAAGAATTTTTATTGCTGCTAATATGTTTTTCAAAAAATGTATTTTTGATAATATGTTTTTCAAAAATGTATTTTTGGTATTATATTTTTCAAAAATGTATTGCTTGTAATATTTTTTTAATTTATTGCTGGTAATATTTTTTTTCAAAAATGTATTGCTGCAAATATTGTTTTCTTCAAAAATGTATTGCTGGTATTAAAACCTATTTTTACACTTTCACAGTGTTTTGACCTCATTTTTGGTATCAACTATTTTCCCATAGCTAAGAATCTAAAAGGTGTTACCACGCCGGGTCATGGTGGAACTTTGAACACAAGCAATTAAAAGGTGGTTCCACGCTCCTCAAGACCTCTTGATAATAGGCTTGCTGTTGAATGTAGTTTATCGTCTTACTCAGGACGGTTTTTGTTATTCCTTATAAACCCTGTGTCACTATCCATTTACTCAACCTTATTAAATATGTTATGCGTAATTTTCCTTGTCCAGCTTACCCTTTATTGTCCTGTGAGTGTCAAATTTTCAAGCCCCCTTTCCTCATTATATGCCATAAAAATTTCAACCATCTCTTCCCGATGTTAAAGTTTCCTTTTTGTTTCTATTCTTTAAAAAAAAACCTCGTCATTGCTCAGATTTTCGATCCATGTTATCCTCAGCATTCTTCTGTAGAACCACATTTGTGTTGCATAAGTCACTTCTTCATCTGTCAGCAGATTGCACAGGATTCACTGCCATACTCATATTACATACTCCACAGGGTGTCCATAAAGTTCGTGTGCACTTTAAAAATTTGTAACTTTATTTACATTTGCGATAGAAATAATCTGTAAAAAAATGTTATAATCCAGTGTTTCAACAAGATGGAGTTCCTTGTCAATTTGCTCTGCATGTTAGAGAGTTTCTAAATCAGGAATATCCTAACAGATGGATCGGAAGGGGTGGACCATTTTGTTGGCCTCCACGTTCGCCAGATTTGACTCCATTAGATTTTTTTATGGGGACATGTGAAAACAATTGTGTATGCAACCAAACCTAGTTCATTAGAAGATTTTAAAGCTAAAATAACTAATGTGATTTCAGGCATTACTGTAAATCAGTTGGCAAATGTTTTCCGTGATCTGCAAAATCGTATTACTCTTTGTATTGCTAATGATGGAGGACATGTGGAAACTTAAATAAAATTTCAATAAAACCTTAAAAAAATATAGATTTACTTCTTTCTAATCCTTTTATACAAATTATTTCCATCGCAAATATAAATAAAGTTATAAATTTTTTAAACGGCACACGAACTTAGTATTCTTTGTTTCTTATGAAATTTGTCTGCTTATTAATATTTTACTCACCTTTTGGAAGGAACCTCTTCTTGATATTTTGAGAAAACTGCCTGGCATTCGCTGCTATATAGGAGGACATACGTATTAGTGATGGTGGTGATAAAAGAGTGCTCGATATATAATAACAGAGCTAAGATTGTTAGTAATAAAAAATATACATATTTTTCTCACTGGTGGTACAGAGGTACTGTTTCATTTTTTTTCCAAATGATTCATTTATTTGTTTTGTTTAGTAAATTAGATTTGTTTAAACAAAAGAAATAAATTAATGGTCCTAAGTAGACATAAAAGAAATATCACTTTGATATCAGTCAAGTATATTTATCATTAATATAAATATATATACATATATGTGTTTCTGTCCCCGTTTGTCTGTATATATATATATATATATATATATATATATATATATATATATTAATAAAAAGAAAGAACAGTAAGATATATAATCCGGTGTTCTTATTGATATTTTTTTTACATTTATTTTTACAAAACAGTGCTCAATGTAAATTTACAGGGCATAAATATTATAAATTAACTAAATTAAAATATGTTTTTGTCGCTACACAGCAATAACCATGTTTCAAAAACTGAAGCTAAAATCTTCAAATTTAATGATATAATTAAATTAAAAGCATTAGTTCTGTTTCATCTATCTATCTATCTATCTATCTATCTATCTATCTATATATATATATATATATAATGTGGACATAGATATATTAATGGTCAGAAGACTGTTTGAATGCGGAAACTATTCAGCATTTACAAAATCTAGCAAATTTTAAATACACACACACGTGTGTGTATTTGTGTGTGAGTGTGTACGAAATGGATTAAATCCGACATATTTTCATTTTAAATTTAATTCGTTTAAACATTATTTTTGAGAATCGGTGGAGAGAGTGAGTTCAAAAAGCATTATTCGGATTTTGTTTTACCATATGTTCTACGAGGCTGAGTGTTTAGTAACGGCAGATCTAATGCTGGGATGCAGGT